TGAAATATAAATGACAGAAATGTAAATTGCAGAAATGTAAAGACAGAAATGTAAATTGCAGGAATGTAAAGACTGAAATGTAAAGGACTGAAATATAAATGACATAAATATAAAAGACTGAAATGTAAATACTGAAATATAAATGACATAAATATAAAAGACTGAAATGTAAATACTGAAATATAAATGACTGAAATATAAATACAGAAATATAAAGACAGAAATGTAAAGGACTGAAATGTAAATTATTAATAACTAAATAATAATAATTATACTAATCTAATAATAATAATAATAATAATAATAATAATAATAATAATAAAAGAAGTACATGTTGGGAAGATAACAAAAAGTACTTAGATGGATGATGATGGATGATGATGGATGATGATGAAAACCTTGGGAAACGTGAAGGAAAACTTGCAAGCCAAGTAACGTAACTTGTAAAACAAGTTACGTTGCAAAAATCCGTAAGGTTACTTGCAAACTTAAAAACGTGATTTATTTAGATTACGTAATTTTAAAAACGATAAAACATAATGTAACTTGGAACGAGAAACGAGATGAAGATGAGTACTTAAATTAAACTTTGAGAATGCGAACGTAACTTACAAAAATCACTTCTTGAAATATTAAATACGATAAACAAAAGCTTAATACCAAAATGATGTTCTTGAGAATACCCAACACAAGATTATCACAAAGTTACAAAAAGTACAATGAGATGGTTAAGAAACTAGATGATTTTTGTTGGTGAATAAAGTAGGTAGCAAGATGATCCCAATGCAAGTGAGAAAAGAGTAAAAATAAGATTAAGTGAAAGTCTAAGTAAAAATTGTATGAATTACAAAGGTCAACACTCCTTTAAATAGGTAAAGAGAAGCTTCATGGTGGATGACAACTAATAAGACAAAAGATCCCTCCAAGCTGGGCTTTGACTAAGCCCAAGGGTGTTGACCAAGCCTTCTTCTTGAATTAGCCCATCAATCCACGGCCCAAGCAGTTTTCCAGCTCTCGGACAGGTCCTATAGGACCTTGCCACTCCTGGTCCTATAGGACTGCTGCAGGACTGGTCCCAAAAATGCACAAAAACCTGCAAAAACAGGGGATTAACATTAGATATATAATATAACTACTAATATATGAAAAAGATATAAAAAGACTCAATTAGGACACTAATGGGCAAATAAAACAACGGAAAATGGTTAAGAAAATGATGTAATAAGGTTAATAAATTAACACTTATCAGCTCATTCAATGGAAGGGATGTCCATTAGAAGAGGCGACATGGGAGGATGCGATAACTATTCAAAGTCAGTTTCCTGATACTGGTCTTGAGGACAAGACCAATTTTGATGGAGGGCCAAGTGATGCAGCACAGAACCAAGCTTCTTCTCAATTAAGCCGAATCAATTCTAGGCCTACCACTTGGAAAGTCTATCTGAGACGGCCCAAGACCCATAAAGGGAATTAGTAATTTGGAGATATTATAATAAGAAGTTTTGGCTTGTGGTGCAGGCATGCAGAAAAATAACCGTCAGTTAGGCTCTAGCTATCGCTTGGAGAAGGGAATTCTTCCCTATTATCCTTCTATGGATTGGAGTCTTTATTGTCTTCTTCCTTTCTTCCGTATTGTAATCCTTCCTTTGTTTCTCAATTAATTCGAATTGCTTACTTAATCAGTCGATTACCATCCCCTAACTATTTCTCCCATTCCCCGCTCTTATCTAGCTGCCCTCCGGGACCCAAATTGAAAAAGTGCCATGGACGACGAATATTGTGCTCTCTTGAATAACAAAACATGGGATTTAGTCCCACGTCATGCCAACACTAATATCATCAGGTGCATGTGGTTTTTCAAACACAAGTTTCGTTCGAATGGAGACTTGAAACGACACAAGGTGCGGCTTGTTGTAAATGGGAAGTCTCAGCAGGTTGGTATAGATTGTGACGAGACATTTAGTCCGGTCGTCAAACCAGCTACTATTCGCACTGTTCTCACTTTGGCTATTTCTAGTAAGTGGCCTATTCATCATCTTGATGTGAAAAATGCCTTCTTGCACGGTAATCTTTAGGAAACAGTTTATATGCACCAACCACCGGGGTTTGTTAATCCGACAGCTCCTAATCATGTTTGTCTATTAAAAAGTCTTTCTACGGTAACAAATAGGGACCACGGGCTTGGTTCCAACGTTTTGCAGGCTATATTATTTCGTTGGGATTTGTAAGCAGTGAGGCTGACCAATCATTATTCATTTCCCCTGAAATACGGCCTACCTTTTGTTATACGTTGATGATATAGCCATCACTGCGTCATCTGAGCTTTTGCACAACAAGATCATTTCCCTTCTTCGTGAATTTGCTATGACAGACTTAGGACCACTGAGCTACTTCCTTGGCATTTCTGTAACCTGGAAAAATGGCAGTCTTTTTCGATCAGACCAAGTATGCTCAAGAAATCATTGTTCATGCTAATATGACAAATTGTAAGGCTGCTATTACTCCCATCTGACACACAGTCCAAGCTTAAAGCAGCATCAGGTCCTTTGGTTGACGATCCCGCCTTATATCATCAATTAGCCGGCATTCTCCAGTACCTCACCTTCACTAGACCTGACATCTCCTACGCCGTACAACAACTTTCTTTGTTTATGCATGACCCACGGGAACCACATCTTCATTCCCTTAAATGTGTCCTCCGTTACCTAAAAGGCACACTTGAGTTTGGTTTGCAGCTTTCTCCATCTTCCACCACAAGTCTCGTAGCCTATACTGATGCGGATTGAGGCAGATGTCCAGACACTAGACGATCCACCTCCGGGTTTTGTGTTTTCTTTGGAGACAACTTGATCTCTTGGTCGTCCAAATGGCAAGTCACTTTATCATGCTCAAGTGCAGAAGCAGAATACAGAGGAGTAGCCATTGTTGTTGCTGAAACATGTTGGTTAAGTAATCTCCTTTTGGAACTCCATTGTCCACTTCAACAAGCCACAATTGTCTATTGTGACGATGTGAGTGCAGTTTCTCTCTCTAGCAACCCCGTTCAACACCAACGCACCAAACATGTTGAATGGATATCCACTTTGTTCGAGAAAAGGTTGCGCTTGGTCATATTCGGGTGTTGCATATCCTCTCGTCTTTTCAGTATGCAGATATTTTCACGAAAGGGCTTCCTTGACAACTCTTTTTTGCCTTTCGAGCCAGTCTGTATGTCCGACTTCCTCCTGCTCAGACTGCAGGGGAGTGATGGAGAATATTCAAGATATGCAAATATCTTGTATATCTCCTCCCATCAGAATTATTTATATTTTAGGATAACGTCTTTTGTAATTATCCTAGTTAATACTTTCTGTATTTATCCTTCATTCTTTTTTATATATTTTGAGGGCAATACATGGACTCCTCAAGGAGCCTTTTACCAATTCTAACAGTGTCTACTTCAAAATAAGTGCCCACTTCAAAAGTAAATGTCTACTTTTTTATTCTACCATTAATTATGATGGAGAAAATATATTTCCCTATAATTAAGGGCAGAATTGTCTTCTTGTTCATTAAAAAATGTAATAAGTACACATTCATAGAACTGTATGCCTTTTCCATTGTAGACACTTATTTAGTTATTTTGGGACGGAGGGAGTAATATAACTAATGTTGAAATCTCTTGAATAAAGAAGCTGTGTAATTCTTTTAAGAGATTTTATTTCTGCATCTCTATTTTAGAGAAATTATATAGAATCTACTAGAGATGCTCTTACCATTTAAAACCCATCTAAGTTACAGTCTTACTGATGTCGATTTCATCTGTTGTAAAAGGTTAAGGAGCTCGAGAGCAAACTTAGAGGACGAGAGAAGTCTGATGCTATACCGTTCCAACAAAAGGTATTTGGTGACATTTCTTGGCATGTTTGCTCACACTCTTGCACAAACAGCCTCTCTACTCTTTAAAGGTAGAGGCCAGGTCTGCATCCATCTCACCTCCCTAGACCCTACTTTCGAGTGAGATTTACTGGGTCAGTTTGGTTTTTTCTGGCATTTTTTATTTCAAATAGGTATATTTTGAAATACTGATCAACTCAGAATCTGGACTGCAGGTTAGAGATCTTGAACACAAACTGCAGACACAGGTTCAAGAGTCAAAGTCTTACTCCAACACCCTTCAGCAAAAGGTCATTAGGAGTTATGCTCTTGGAGAATATTTTATTTAAGAATCTGCAGAATGGGAAATAAACAAAGTTTCTGTTTTCTTTTTTCAGATTGACCAACTTGAAAGGAAGTTGAAAAAACAGGAACAAGATTCTGATTCCACTTTACTCCATCAGAAGGTCAAACTTGTTTCATCATTGGTTCTATGTCTTTCGATAATCCTGAAACTGTTGTGCCTTCCAAGATGAATACTCATGAGGAGTTGTTTACTATACACTTACTGCCTCTTACTGGACAAGTAAATGATAGTGTTAAATTTACTGGTAAGCGCTTACCTGGGTAAGCAAGTAAACGGCTCGTTATTGCCTCTTACAGGGTAAGAGATGCTTACTCGGTCAGAGATGATGGCCTTTACCAAACGCTTACTTGGGTAAGAGATTACTGAGTCACATTACCTTACCGGATGAATGTGGTAAGGACCAAGAATCTTACCCGGTAAGAGCGAGGCAAGGAAAAGAGTCTTGCCCGGTAAGTGAGGGTGATGACTTTTACCACGGTAAGCGCTTACCAGGTAAATTGTTGCATACAATGTCGTTTTCGTGAACTAAAATCTTACCGGTTAAGTTAATGATAGTGTTGAATTTTACCGGTAAGCGCTTACCGGTTAAGTGTTTGGTAAACGGCCCCGAGAATCTTACCCGGTAAGTGAGGGTGTGACTCTTACCCGGTTAGTGCTTATTGGTAAGAGATGCTTCTACTATGCCATTTCATCGACCGAGAATCATACCCCTGGTTAGGTAACTAAGAGTCGTGACTCATACCCGGTAAGCGCTAACTTAGTTTGTGTTGGTAAACGGTTTTTAAGCGATTACACCAGAGACCGAAAATCTTGCTTCATTCCTTTGTGAATTTGATTTCAAAGAGTTTAGAGACATCCACCAAAGCAAATGTTATAGCATTACATTAAAGAGGGTGTGAATGTGCTAACGATATACATTTGCAAGAATGACAGATTAAGGAGCTTGAAGAGAAGGTTAAAGAGCAAGAAAGGCGAATGTCCATGCGATCCACACCCTTTGAAGGCAAACACAGTATTGGTTCAAGAGACGGATTCACATATGAAGCAGAACAACACATTCTAAAGAGTTCTAACGCCATGAACTGCCAACGGATGTCTACTTACAACAGGCCAAGTCTGCCAAAGAGAAGCGATTCTCATGGTGGTGGTGGGATTGAAATGAAAAGGAAGAGGTTGCCAAGAAATAGTGAGATGGAGAATGTTGTCATACCGTTAACTTATGATCACAATGACAAGAAGGGAAGGAAATCAGATAAACCTCTCCCTAGAGCTCCTCCGACAAGGGCGGTTGATAAACCTACGCCGTCAAATCGGAGGGCCGTCCCTCATGGTAGAACAACCAATCCAACTCAAGGAATCAAAGAGAAAGAAAACAAGAAAAGGATGTGGTCTTGATAGTCTCATATACCAAGTCATACAAGTCTTAGTGTTAACTTAGTTAAGGTTCACAAAAAGCTGATCTGGATACCCCTAACATAATGTGCATTCAATCTGATTTTGAGGTACATGTACTGGTTCTATGTGTTCAACTTTTACTTAACCTGAACTTGATCAATGTTTTTTGGCCAATTGAACCCAGTTGTTGTCCCATGAACACAGAGACGCATAATCTTGTGATGTGATTTCTCTTTCAAGCATATAATATTTTTATCAGGAAGTGATTTTAGTGAATCATAAGTCCATTTTGTGTAATTGGATTCATAGAATGAAGGGTTAATAGTTAAGCTAAAATATGGGTTATGACGTGCACAGTGTATTTGTATAAGCTAACTAGAACCTACAATTCGTCATAGGGTGGGGTCAAGGAGGCTACGTCCCCTTGTAGGGGCCATGGTTTAGTAAGCCATAACTTTTTGAATATGCCAAGTCTGAGTCTGTTTCAAAAAACAATCTCTTTTGAGATTGTGAAGTTTTTCAACACTTGATTGGTTCATAAGGTTTTTGTATTAGAAGGTCTTCACTCTAGAAAAAAAACGCCTTCTGATGGTTAGACTTGAACCAAGCCTTCGTAAAGTTAGACATGAACTCAGATTATAAATCATCTTCTAGACTTTACTTCCATTTCGGTTCTATAAACATCCAATGAATGCTCAATAACTTCTGGTACTGTTATCTATACTACCTTATGAAGCATTTGGCTAAAACTCTTAAAAACTATTTTTTTATGCGTAAAGTATTGTTTATTAATGCATATTACTTAAAACTCAAGATTACAAGTAGATTGTGGGTAAGTACAACTTATTAAAGCTCCATATCTGAATTCGTGTAACTAATTGCAGATAAACATCTGATTTTAAATATAAAAAATCTAAAATATAATTAGGATAATCATTGAGTTCTAACAGAATACTTAATTATCATCTTTATAAAATGTTATATTATTAAATCAAAAATAAATTATTTCATTATTAAATTTAAATTAAATTATAATAAAAAATAAATTA